ATGKAACAAAATAAATACATTACAATTATACACACTAATTTGAAGAATCAAAGCTTGACAAGATTCTTGCTCATGCAGCACACATTACAAAAGTTTTTTCCATGGATAATTAAGTAGCATGTACGGTTCAGAACAATGCTATTAAAATTGGTCTATTATTTTTTGAAAAGGCACGGGGTAAAGCTGATGTTTGTAATTCATATTATCAAACATATTAGCATAAACATTTTGAAATATTGTGTTTTTAAGACGTTAGTTTTGTGCGTGTTACTTACAGTTACTTCTGGCATATGAAATGTTTTATTAATRGCTTTCATAACCTCAATAGGACAAGGTGATCCAGCCATCACACCTTCAAAGGATTACAAATTGGTCAATAGAAAAATACAATTATAAAAGCTCATGAGGAAGAACGAACAGTACATCCAAGTAGTTTGGTTGTTCATTGGTCTTGGGTATGTGTACATGTAGATGGCAAATATAACTAATAATTTGTAAAATTTGAACACTATGTACTAAGTGACCATTCAATATTGCTGTCTTATTAAGTCAATSAGTGAACCAGACAAAGTGTATGTGGACTTAAAGTGCTATACTTATTGTTACTGATACTGATGATATTTTGTGTAATATATACCTGTACGTAAACTTGAAAAGTCTGTCTTGCCACAGTTAGGGTGGTTTAACATGTCAATAAACATGGTTGGAGTACCATATAAGGAATTGCACCTAAACATATAATGTCCATATTAAGTCATAAAAAGCTGGTCGATGGTTTGTATTTTATGACACAGTCAAATCTACATTAGAATTCTCACTTTTCTTGTTGAATAGCCTGAAGRGAAGCTCCTGCATCAAATGCACGTGATGGATAAACAGCTGTAGTGCCATTAGTAAGAGTACAGACACTGTAACAAATAATAGGCCACATATTGATGATTAAACAAATCATAATCTAGATATTTTGGCAAAATAAGCTTAAGCCTACCTGCCTAATACCATACCAAAGCAATGATAGAGAGGGACTGGACAACACACTCTTGTATACTGATTCTGGGATTTAAAAAAACAGTATAATCATAAAAGATAACTTGATGATACATAACACTGTGTTTAAGAAAAATAATTATCGAAGATGGTATTGAATGCTTACCCCATAATCAAGAATGTCYGCAACACACATTGCATTGTTAATCATATTATGGTGTGTTATTGTGGCTCCTTTTGGGAATCCTGTGGTTCCCTGTGAAAATAAGCATCACTTAATGTTTCAACATTGTTTTAGTTATAGTAATATATATTAAACACTTTGACTTACTGACGTAAACTGAATATTAACTGGGTCATCACTTTGTAATTCATCTTGCAGTAGCTTGAGCTTTTGTTTCTCGTCATTGCCACCTAATTCTTCAAGCTCTTTGAATCTTAAAGTTCCTCTAAAAAATCAATTTAAGGGGACTTTCAATTATTATCCTAGATTAGTTGTATCTTCAATACAACATATTTGTTAAGAATCAAGAGAGTGGGGGTCATGTCAAGGGGGTGGGAGATTTGAAAAAAATGTATCCTCCACCTAGAAGTGGGGGGGGGGGGGGGGGTTCTGTTTTTTTTTCAGAAACCATGAGCCCCCTCCATAAAAAATAAACAGTCCCTAATTTTTTATAAAGTCCTTTGCAACTTAAGCAATAAAATCATTGCTTACCTAAATTCTCTTTTACTCTCTGAAGCAACAATAACAGCCTTAAGGTCTGGAAGTCTGCCAAAAACAAAATTACAATTAGCAACAAGCATTTTTTATAATAACATTATAAAGRTGAAACCTTCAAAAAGAACTTTACCTGSCACTGTACAGATCACCAGGAGARGAATCAGGCAGTTCATGAGCCAATTGATTGATCATGTGATARTAGTCTTGAGTTTTATGACTTTCAGCCATGACAATTGYTTTACATTGTACCTGRTAAAAGAAGTGAACATAGACAATATTACCAATTTATGTCCTTTAAGATTTACACATTGTTTCCTAAAAAAAAAACAGTTCCAATCATTGCCCTCTTGAAAGCTACAATGTAGCTTTTGAATCAACTGCCATGTTTCTCCCTATAATGATGATAATGATGACATGATGATAATGATGGTGAATTAACAACAAGACTAATACATCTTCAGGAACCAAGGCATAATCCTTTGTTGTTCATCCTCACATAGTCAACATTCCTGAGGATTAAGACTACTATAATCAAAAACCGCTAACAAATAGTTGCCAACTACTGACAATACTTCTTTTGCAAAKGCATAGTCTTTCAAGGCTTATATAAAGAAATCAAGAGACCCCAAAGGGTAATGCCTCCACTTCCCTCCACTCCCCTTTGTTCTCTCCCCTCCCTTATTAAGGTTAGATCTTGCATCACATTTTGTGAATATTACCTTTTTTAATGCATATTCTACTTCAGAGACCTGGTAAGCTGGATTGATATTCACCTTTATAGAAAACAAAACACTTCAAATAGATTTACATTGCGATTTGATATTATAAATGAGATATTATTTTATCTTACCAATATTAGACCGGCTTTTGCTGTAGCAAACTGTGTTAGAATCCATTCTCTCATATTAGGACCCCATATACCTACACGATCACCTCTCTGTAAACCAAGTGACAAAAAACCTGCTGCTACTTGATCCACCTATGAGATGAATAATTAATAATTAATAAACAATTATTAAAATAAATTCATGTTTAAAATATTGTTCTATATATGCAGTAATAGCCCTAAAGTCATGCAAATAAAATTATCAACTCACAAGTCAATGAACATCAACTAATATTTATTAAGTAATTTGAATAAAATGTGGTAAAATCTGTAGGAAAATATTTCTTGCTTGTACCTCATCTTTCAATTCTKCAAAAGTTGCTCTTTGATTTTCTTGGCAGAAGACATATGCTTCTCTGTCAGGAAACCGAACTGCTATCTGGTCAATTTTTGAYCCTAATGTGTCACCTGACAATGGCTTTGTGGGTACACCATGGCAGTAGCTGAGAGTTAGCTTGTCTTGGAGACTGGACCTACAGCACAAAACAAGTCACATAAAATCCTTCAGGTTAAGAATGCGAGATGTACTGTGTTTTATGACTTTGAGAGATTGAGAAATTGACAGATTTTGATGATTTTAATTAAAATCATTAATTCGACAATGTGGACGGGATTCCTGTGTCTCCTGGACACCAGGGTATCAAATGATTGAATTATTTATTACTTAATTATTCTCTCTTTTTAATTGTTCGGGGTACTATTGTACTAAAATTCTTAAATAACGATAAAAAACTAGAACTAGTAACCAATTTAGGAGAATTTTATCAGAAAATAGTGAGTCTCGACCTTAATAAAGTTTTGCAAGTGTTACATTGTGTTTAAGCGGGATATCCCGCGAACTTCGTTGACTATCAAACAGATCAATACATATATTTAAGGCATTTTTGATTTTCTACAATTCAGTTTACACTTGCATTACTCGAGACATATATGACTTCAGACTATTTTTGTTGCCCGGTAATGATATCTGCATAAAATGCCTAACACACCACGGTCAAAATGCAACATTCACACTTACCCTGTACTCAAAAATCGACTTCGATAGACACTTAGTCTGGTCTTCAATTCGAAAAGTTTATATCGAAAGGCATTTGCGTAGTTTTTAGTCGATCGAGCGACCGTGTAAAACGCCATCACCATCCGATATCACGTACTCAAAACACTCAGCAGTAACATTGTTCGATCCCGTTTGGGAAAACTGGTACCTAAAATTCTATTTACTTCCGGTAGGTGTTCTGGAATGACGCCGGAAGTGTCTGGAGAGTGCGGGGCTTTCTCTGACAGCACTAAAATAGTAATTTGCGATTATTTCAGATTATTGGCGGGATACTAAGTAAACTCCACTTGTTCAAAATGTTATTCTTGCACAGACTTACTAAAACACAAATAGCAAACCTCCCTGTGAAAATCAGTGTTAAGGGCATTCAAAGTATTTCAAGGATTGGACACAGGGGTTGATCCAGGGGGGGTTGAGATAATGACCCTATGTATACAGATTATTATTTGTACTTAGACAAACATGAGATTTGATTTACTATTCTCTTGTTCCTTTTATTATTTTTTCTATTTTCTTATAAAACCCTACAGAATATCTAGAAAACTATAGCCATCCCAATATAAAAACAATATATATAAAATATATAACAAAAGAAAATTGGCTTTTTCTATTAATACAGCCGCTATAAACACAAAAATTTAAAATAAAATATTTTATATTTTTACTTTTAATTACAGTTATATTATTTTGTATGTATTTTTAGTATTTTTGCACTGTTGTATAAATCTTTTGTTATGTGTAAACTAATTGTCACGATTTAAATAAGCTTTGACGTGCATGGAGTTATAAAAGGTATCTTTCCAACAATTGTGAAATAATTG